ACATTTTACCTGTGTTATATGAGTACAACACATTTTTTTACTATGACCATCACTCTGGTGGCCCCCGTTTGATAAATAACGACAATGGTTACTTTACTCTAAGCAACCTAATTTTTAGTGAAAAATATTTCCAGGGTTAGAAATGCATTTGAAACAATGATTGAGGTTTCTCTGTCTTTACTTTTCTATTGCTCTTGCTTCTTCTCTTGCCTAATTATTTTATCTTATAGGACTTTAATTGATACATTCAAAAATTTATAAAAATAAGGACTGAAACCATGACAAAAAAGTGCCCAGAATGTAGGTGAATGTGTATACACTGTACTAATATCAAATCTATCAGTATTTAATTACTCTACTCTTTCTTTTTTTGCATTTCACTGCCACCTTAACTCCTCCTTCCTTCTAATCTTAAAACCAACAACTTAAAGCTGTGTCCTCCCAATAAAAGGTGTTCCCAAAAGTCTCGCTGACATTATTTTACCCTTTAACGGAGTGGTCTCCAAGCCCAGTCCTGGAGAGCAGGTCTGGAGACCTTCCTGCAGAGCCTAGTTCCAACTACAATTTGCCACACCTGCTCCATCCAACCTCTTGGATCAAATCAAGCTCCACTCTTGCTTCAGATTTGAAAAAATCCACAGGTGTTTCTGTGTATCCTTCTACTGTGAGAAGACAACTCATCACTATGGGTCTGAAAGAATGTGTAGCTGTCAAGAAGCTGTTACTGAGAAAAGGAAAAAGGTTAAAAAAAAGAATAACAACTGCACTAGAACACTGAAACTTGAAATCTAAGCTTTTACAAACTGATGAGTCTAAATTTGAGTCCAGACCTTAAAATCACTGAATATGTTTGGGATTGAAAAATGCAACCAAGTTCTACGACTGAACATGTGTAAAACACATCTGTGGCATCACAGAACCTTTTCCTTTCTTGCAGGTTACTTCCAATTGAAGTCTACAGAAAGTATTGACAGGTGACTTAACTGCTGGCTTAATTCACCACACCAACACCAACACCACTATCAAGATATCAGTTTTTCAAGTTCAGTGTAAACTAATGCTGTTAAAGGTACAAGCTAACAGCAATTAAATGTTAGCATCAGTTACAGATGACAACCACTAAATAACTTCCTAAACTAAATGTAAGTTAGAATGTCAGCCTACTTTATCAATATACCTACATAACTATATAGCACCAACACTTACACTAAAGAGTTATGGAATTCTCTGTTCACTCACCATAATACAAATAGGCATGATGAATTAACCCAGTCTGCACTCATATTCCGCTGAAGGCTTCTCCCTGATTCCTATCAACAGGCTTCTATCTCCATAAGAAGTGCCTAAAGTAGAGTGTAAAGGCTAAACCAACAGCAGAGGAACATGTACAGTGTGTGCAAGAGGGAATATGTTCTCCAGCTCTAGCCAATTACTGTAATACAGGAAAACTGTGTCTTCCTGCAAACAAGAGAATGCGAATGGTTCTGGACAAGGCCACAGGGGCAGGTAGTTTGGTGGGAGGATGTTTTTGTCGTTTTCTCTGGCCCCTGGCTGGCAGTGGAGGCCGGCATGCAAACATCCATCCTGAGGAAAAGAGCGTAAGTAGGAAACAGAGCCCACGTCACAGCGGCACACGGGAAAAACCCCTGAACCAACTGCACGTGCAAACACACATGCACAAACACGCAAACGTGGTGTAATAAGCCAAAGCACACTGACAAACCCAAACTCAGTCCTTGTTCTCTTCTATACACCTTGTTCCAAAATGTTCTCCCCACTCACACTGTCTTCTCCCACTCACGGTGTTTTACAATGTTCTCCTCCATACATACTGTCCTAGTATGTTCTCCACATTCACACAATCTGAAACTGTCTCTCCATTAACACAGTTCTAGAATATTTTCCACCATACACACTTTTCTTGAGTGCTCTCTCTAAGACTGTTCTAGAATGTTCTCTCCTTTCACACTGTTCTAGAATGTTCAACTCATTCACTGTTCTAGAATGTCCTCATTTGAATGTTAGCGTTTGTTATGTTTGTTAGGTCAGTTTGTTAGTCCAGGCCAAACAACCACCCAAACTGACTTCAGCTTGAACAAAAGGAACAACCATGCAAAGTTATCTCACACACATCTGACAGAGTAAAACAGAGAAATGATTAAGGGCAAAAATATTCCAATATGAAGACAGGCAAAAGATGTATGGAGTAACAGCATCACCTCAATCTCCTTACACATTTTTCAATTCCTCACTCTCAAACTACAAATCTTACATAGATTTATTAGTTTTACAGTAGTTACCAAACATTTTTGGTAATTCCTAAATGGTAAGTATTGAAATAAGCCTAAGCCTAAGGTTCAAAGTGTTTAAAATAAGCCTCTTCTACTCAATTTATCAGCAGATGTTCAAAACATCGCATGCTATTGAAGAGCTATGAGAGCACGAAAATGGCCAACATTGCCATTCCTAAATATGACACCTGCAGCACTAGTTTTGGTAACGGTAATACACTCTTTCACTATAGTACAGAAGAGACTTTGGCTCACATCTAATTGCTGACTGTGATGACATCATTTGGGTGTACAGAGAGGCCCAGCGTGACAGCTAAGCAATAACAGGATGTTTACAAAGCCTTTCAGCCTTAAATGAATGAACCAAACAAAATCTATGCGAGGAAGCTCAAAGACATAAGGAGATAGAAGAAAGTAGGAAGCGCTGTCACATCTGGCTGAACCAAATATAACCAACTCTAAATTTACTAAAAGATTGGCTTACCTTTTTTATGTTTTTTTGTGGCATGAACAAAACCACACAGTTTAACATATTAGGGGTCTATGGTAAGCATTTGCTAGTGATCCTGATTTGAAATAAACAAGAACACACATACAAAAAAAAATTAATTCCCTCTTTTCTTCTTTATTTGGTCAGAAACAATGTTTATTTCAAGACTCAGAATTTTCCTACAAAGATGACTGCTTGAATAACATTAGGAACAACATTCCTGTTTTTTAGCTAATTAAGACAAAGTATGTTCTTGTACCAGCAGTTCTAATAAGTTAGGCTTGTTTGCTGGACAGCTATTTCTTACTGTAACATCTTGATAGTTTCACATTTATTGAATGAGAATTTTATAATATAATGCCAATTTTTGTTCATTAGAAACTAGACTAAGACACATTGCAAATTAAATGATAGATAATATGGCTAACTTAGCTATTTTGGAATTTAAATAAGCATCAGTGCTACAGAGTGAAGAACCATTTTGGAGCCAAAAGAGTCAGTTGTTGATCGTGAGCTGGGCCAATTGACGTGACTCACTGAAAAGAGCCATACTTCAACACACACTGGCTGAGCTATTCTTAGGCCATAGAAGTGTGTTATAAAACTTCCATCTTTAATTTGCTGGTGCCGTTTTGGGTAATAATGCTGGGCAATACACGTTGCTGAGCCTGTTACTGGTTGTTTCACTGATGCCACTACAGAGTGAAAAACAAACTGTTTAACCCATAAGGTTTACATTCACTGCTATGAGACAGCAGCAAAGGATGTGAGTCTTACAGGAAACCAGCAGCTCTTAACTAAACCGTGAGATTTGACAGCTATGCAGGTTAAATAAGTGAATACACATAATTAAGTCCTAGTCTATTTGGATCAAAACCTGTTCTTGCATGGGTGCTGCTATTCTAGTGCTGCTAATCACAATTCTGCTTGCACAAAAAAAGGAGCAAACGTGAGCATTTTGCACTGTAGAACCATGAATATACTCCAGCACAAGCAAGCATTCCAGAACTTAATCATGCCCCACTGACTGGTTAGAAGAACATGTCTTGCTCTTGACTTCTCAGTGCACTCCAGCCACTGCATGGATTTGCTAAATTCCATTAGCAGTACACCTAATTTAATTTGGTGAAGGACTAATTAGATAAACCAGATGTTGAATGACAAGTACTTAGCAACGACCCATACCCGCTACAAGTGACAATTTTATTTAAGACTATGTTAAGTTGTTCAATAGTTCAATAGGATGAGCTATGTTGTAATGGTATATGGTTTCCCCTGTGTAATTACCATTTAACTAAAGGGGAATTCCACTAATTAAATTGTTAAAATTTTAAGTCATTTAGAGTGGTTCGATGTGAGTAACTCAGTTCTAGAGAAACTTATAAAGCCAGAATAGTTCACAGTGATGGTAATAGGAACCAGACATCCTAAGTGTGTGATGCCTCTAAAAGCTTGTGTAAAGTTATTAAATGACATGGTTATGAATGCAGTACCTGATATCTAAGACATTGTTTTATGACAGTTTGGCCTAAAATGTATTAAAAAAGCCAGTCATGGTGGAAAGGTACATGCAGGGCATTGTGAGGCAAAATAGCACCCAAAGAAAACATTTTTCAGATTTACCCATATTTTACCATTATTAACATCACATACAAGACTCAGAAGACATGTTCACTGGTGGTTTTGGAGAAGTAAATAAAATGGCTTTATGTGTACTGTAGACATTGTTACTCTTGGTTCCTATCACCACCAAAGAAATAGGTGAGTCTGAAAGTTTCTCTACTATGAACCATTCCACATCAAAACACTCAGATATCAACACACTTTAACTTTATAGTCAGTGTTTCATTTCAAAGCTGAAACAAAAAGATTGTGTCACTTTCTAGTTATTTGTAGACTTCACTATATATACATGTTCATGCTTCTGCCAGATCATATTATTTTAGATTGGTAAACAACTCTTAAAAATGGAACAAATTCAATGATTCATTAGATCCCAGCATTTTGATTTTTTTTCATAAATGTGATTTAAGTTCTGTCGAAATGCTTTTTGTGCAGTGTTCTGCTCTGAAACAAGTCAAGTGGCACAAAGAGAGCAGGTGCAGCTGACACAGGGGCGCTGGTGGTTTCTGACATTCAGCAACAGTTCTGAGTCAAATCTGTCCTTTTGCCATCATAGAAGACACAGAACTCAACAAAATCTCTTGGCCTTGCTGAAAATGGCAATTACAGACTTCCTTGCTGCTTCTGATATTTCTTCTGCCATCAATGCTTGCAAAGGTAAGGATTAGACATTCGTACTAATTTTTATAGTGTTTCTTAAGAACAAGTTTTCTTAGTTTTATTAACCAAATATACAACTTCTGATACTCTTTAATGAACCAGGACCTTTTGTTGTTTACTGTTTTCTGTTTTAGCAAAAGATTCTTTTAGTCCAAAGACGTTTTTTGCGACTGTGGGTTTATCCAAGAGGTCTCTATCAGAGATTGAGAAGGTTTTCAAAATGCTGGACCAAGACAAGAGTGGTTTCATTGAGCAAGATGAGTTGCAGTTGAGTAATCTTAATTCTTAACCCCTTACATACTGAGATAACACCTGTAAGACTGACAATCTGTGAAGCAGCGTGTTCTCATTATAACAGCAGTGTACATTTTCATCACATTCACCATGATCTTCATTTTAGTATCTGATCTTGCCAATGATGCCTCACATTACTACATCACAGACATATAATACCTTGTGCTTCATGCTTGCTCTTTAGATTGTTCCTGCAGAACTTCTCGAAGGGGGCACGAGCTCTTACAGCAGCTGAAACGAAGGCTTTTCTCATGGCTGGAGATATGGACGGAGATGGAAAGATTGGCTGGGAAGGTGGGTTACTGTAACAGTCACAAAAATATGAACTGCATTTTATGTTAGGATAGCAACATCTGCACGTGCCAAATGTGTTCTATTTAAGTGAACGGCAACGTGCAGCATACTTAAATTAATTTTGTTCACATCATTTTTTTTTTTGAGTGTATCGTAGTAAACTAAAAAATGTGAAAGATTAATGTTTGCTTCCTCATTTTCCAGAATTCTCTGCTCTCGTCAATGCTTCCTGAGGCCAGATCTGCCACACAGTGCTGGAGGAAAGAAAAAAGCTGCTCACTGTTAACACTGATTTACTATGAACTCAGTAATAAATCTTACATAACGATTCAGTAATAAATCTTCAGACAATCAATAAATCCTAAGGAGCAATACAGTTCTAAAAAGAGACCTAAATATAATACAAAAAATTCATTATTTAGTGTCCACGTTTTGTCTTTATTACAGCTTCCTTTCTTTTTAAGAGACTTGCCTGCAATTTTTCACAGAAATGTGAAGGAAGATTTTTCCACACTTCCAGAGTTTAGTCTTTGAAGTTGGTTGCATTTTCTGTTTTTCATGATCCAATAACAAATTTAGACTCATCAGTCTGTAAAACCTTAATCCACATCTCAGTCCAGTTTTGGTGTTCTTGTGCATATTTTTCAGTTTTTTGGTCTATTTTCTTTTCTCAGTAATGGCTTCTTGACAACTGCACATCCTTTGAGACTCCTTTGAGTGAATTCATACCTGTGGATTTTTTTTTCAGATTTTAACAAGACTGGAGCTTGATCTTCTCCTCTCTCTCAAAAACAGGAGGCTTTAAATACTGTTTATCTGATGGTAACAGTTTTAATGGTTAGGAGTTCCAGTTTCTCAATGTCTTTAAATAATTTTCTAAACGTGCTTTCACTTATTTTCCTTTGACTTTCCCCTTCCTTATGCATTATATCAAATCTCCTCAGAAAAATTTCCTTCAGCAATAGATAAGCTAAGGTGCGTTTGGATAGTTGCTTTTGTGAATATTAGCGTCTCTTTGAAGGGGAACACAATGTCATTGATTCCTTTGAGAACAGCTTTTGTTGGGAGGACACAGCTGTAACTTGTTGGTTTTAAGATGGGAAGGAAGGGAGAGTTAAAGTGTCAGTAGGGTGCACAAAGGTAAGAGTGGAAAAACTGAATACTGAAAGATTTGATATTATTTGTAGTGTTGGAGGCTTTTGTGTGATTTTCTGTTAAGTAGAGAAGAGTCTCATTCCAAAATGCTGTATAACAGTTTGGATGTACTGGTTTTGAAAAGAATTACAGCTGATGTATAATGGAAAAAACACATTTTTTTTCTCTAATAAAGATTGTATAAATCATCGTATAGCACTGTTTTTCTTGTATGTGGAAAAAGACAATAAAAGTCTATCATGTGTTTTGGAAAGAAACCCTTCATATGTTTCCTGTTTTTCTTCTTTTTTCCTGTCACTAAATAATAAATAACTCAGTAACTTAATGGCCATTTTGACTGGAAACTGAATAAACGGAAAGGTGGTCTCTTACTCTGACCATTGTGTGTTACCTGATCCTACTATTTCTCGCACAGTGTACCCTGCAGTTACTGCTGTATTTGGTTTAAAGAAATCAATAAAAAAAATAAAGATCTTCAATCAAAATGCATCTGAGTCTTTGCCTTCTCATGCCTGTATGCCATGTCTTTAGCTTATCCTGGCAAGCTGTCCTTGCTGTCTAACCACAGAAAGCATCCTCAGAGATTTTTCCTGACCTTGAGAGATCACAACTGAGCGCAGCCCTGAAAACACACCAGAGATAGAAGTGATTACACTGCAATAATGAATTTCTCTCAGATCTCACTTCACTCCAAAGGCAAATACATGTCTGTCCTTGAGCAGAAACCAAATAAAAAATAGAGACGAGAAATTCAACTGTGTAGAATCTTAACTGCAAGGGATCATCACACTGAATCCACATACATTTAGAGCTATTTTGTATAGGCTGCCCTGTTTATCCCAGATTACACGCATCTACAAGCTAGTTCATTGGATCATGTCCTATTTGGTAAACAGGCTAACAACACTTCAGAATACTCCAGGTTTCAAAAATGTGCCGCTATTCCTCTTTCCCAGCCCAAGTTAGCTTGAGGTTATCACGTTACGTTTTGTATAGCTAGGTTAGGCGTTGGCTATTTTGACTCAACAGTTAATGTTACAAAATATACATGTATGTATACATTTTTATGATTTAAATGATTAATCAAAGAGAGGCAAATGACTCTTAATATATGTCTATTCATATGTGAAAACATTGTTTCCAGAGAAGTGGGTAAATGAGCCTAGAAGGATCGCATTACACTTAACTCGCATACCTCACATTTTACTCCAAACACTGACAGCACGTTGGGGCACAGGCGCTCCTGGATGCCCTCTTGTGTTTCGCATAAGGACTTAGAGCATCCCCTTTTGAAAGGATATAAATAGCACAATATGACTAGTAGACACATTTTTGTCGAAACTATAGCCAACCTAAGCATATGGTGTCCGTTACAGCCCACTGGGAGAAGAGTATAAAAGCGAAGGAAGAGCTGCTCTGCTCAGGCCATCGCACCTCTCTGGAAACGTACTGTCGCCACCGCAGCACAAAGGTGAGTTTCCCCCGAGAGAAGGCCGCATCACTCCGATCAGCAGCTCAGCACAGATATCCATCCGCGGCTAATACGATTTTTGATATCCATGGAATAATTTTAAAAGAAAAGATGAAGAACAACTGCTGGACGCACCTACGGACCTATTTCACGAATCAGGACTGAAAACGAGCACTTATTTCAGTGTTTAGACTGATTAAGGACTTTCTTCTGGCAAAGGATGAACGTGCAGCGTTGTTTGTTAACCTCGTTTGTGTTCCACGTTAACACTGTTAACAAGACTTTCTGGGTCAGCTCTGATGGAGAACCAGCAAAGTGGAGATGTTTATTTAGATAGTTGTACATCTTTCATTAGTAGTTGTTTGTAATTTTCTCTGGACCAATCATTGCAATCCAAAAAACAGTAGGCCAGAGATTAGGCCATATATTTATTTACAGAAATCGATCTAATCTAAAAATACATTGTATGCTTTTAAGTGTGAAATTCTTTTTAATTAATGTTCAAATATCATTAACTTGCAGATACTTAAAAATGGCATTCGCTGGAATTCTCAAGGAGGAGGACATTGCTGCAGCCATTAAGGACTGTGCTGGTAAGTCAGTGCAGTCCATAATTATAACTTTACATTTCTCATTATGTTGACTCTCAAATCCTTCAGAAAAGTAAGCTGTGATCAAGTTTACCCTTGATTAGGACATTTTCATTGTACCAATGAGTTATTCATTATGATCATTTCAGTGGCCAATATGAAGAGAAAAATGTTTACAAATGGTGTTTCTCCCAACTTCCAGCTGCTGACTCTTTCAACTACAAGACCTTCTTTGCCAAGGCTGGACTGAGTGCAAAGTCTGCTGATGACATCAAGAAAGCCTTCTTCGTCATTGACCAGGACAAGAGTGGCTTCATTGAGGAGGACGAACTTAAGTAAGAATTAGACAGATTTGCAGCTAGTTTGTTTTTTGATTTTTAAAAAAATAAATAGCTAAGCAATATTCACTTCTTTCTTTCTTATCAAACTTCCCCAGGCTGTTCCTGCAGAACTTCTCCGCTGGTGCCAGGGCTCTGACTGATGCTGAGACCAAGGCCTTCCTTGCAGCTGGTGACAGTGATGGTGATGGCAAAATTGGAGTTGAAGGTATTGAATTTCATGGAAAATACTGGCAGATTTATGATTTATGGTTTATATCAAACTTACAATTTAAAGTTTTTATTACAGTTATTTAGCATTAACAAGTGGAGAAATCTGACCTAATAACACAGAGCTCATACACTGGCAGCCTGGCACACTACATTTAGCATTCAGGTCGCAAGTCCAGAAAATGGAAGTGCTGCTGTTCTCGAAAGCAAGGCCTGGAACTTAATATGTAGAAAATAATTGCATTTAAATCACAGTCACAGTATTGGTCAGAGAAATCACAATTAGATATTTTCCCCAAATCACTCAGCTCTAGTTGAGGAAATCCAAAAACAGCTGTGTAACCATAAAATAGTGATACTCAATTCTTAAGTCTCTTACTAGAATAAAATTTCTCAGAAAATCAGTCCAACTACTAGTGATGTGCTACAATAGAATGAGACTTAAACTGAACATTTGGATGATTTGGCTATTAATCCAGTCCCCTTTATCTATTTTATAAGAATCAGATGAGATCTTTCTCTTTGCATGTGGAGTGAACACTTAAGTCTATGACAACGAAAGTTGATGGAAACTGTGCGACTCCAAACCTGGGAGCAAAATGGAATAACAGAGACAACCAATTATGGTTTCAAATAATTGAATATTGATAATGTCTGCTGCCAAGGAAAATGACTGTGTATCGTAACTAATCAGTTACCAAATGTCCAGTACACTCAAATTTTTAAGCTGGCTTAGTGCTACTCAATACAACTGAAGCATTATGAATTACTTAGCATGATAGACGTGAAAATGTTTAAATGTCAGCTTTGTTTAAAATATTTAATGTTGCATGCAAAGATCACACTCATTACATTATAAACATACAGTAGACTCACAGCATATCAAATTTATTAATTAATATGTGTTTCTGTTTTGTTTCAGAGTTCGCTTCCCTTGTGAAGGCTTAAGCACTCATGGACCCTATTTTTTGGAAATAGGTCTTTACTTTTGTATATGACTTGTCTCCAATAGTTAATTTAATTTTTTATATTTATTTATGACTACCCAGCTCTCTTCACTGCAAGGAACACAAATACATGTTCAGTCTCTTCAACACTCTATTTATTGTTCATACTGTTAGGTAACAGTTCATGCTGTTATGTAATTGTGTAATTATGAACATAACTTGTGCAAATATACAATGTCTTTTGCACTTTTGAAATACAAATAAATTTGCATTTGCCATACAACTGTCCCATGTTGAATATCTAACATTCACAGTCTTGCATGCAATGGCAGCTTAATAATAATTCATCCAAGAAAGAGATTTATACAAGAATATGAACCACATGTTCTTTCAGTGAAATTAAGTTGGTCACACATAAGTGAAATAAAAGGAACATTTTCATTTGGAAAAAAGACATAATTGGATCAGTCAGACACCTGACCATTGAAATTATGTTAAGCCCTGGGATAATGGCTACAGCCACCTGTTGGCAATAGCCGATAAAGAGTTTCTAGCTCTGGCCTGGAGCAGCTGAAGAGCAGGAATGTACTGCCGTTTCACCGCCAGTATCCATGCAGAATTCCTCAGCCATGCTCAGTGTGTCATCCGTGAGCCACAGTGCTGTGCGCAGGCATCAGTTACACATTCCTATAATTATACAAGGCAGATCACTAACACTGTGCACATATGTAGTACATACATATGGTCTGCTGCTGCTATACAAGGAAAGCCTTACCAGCCTACTGGATATTACCTTTCCAAGTGCAGTGCAGAGCTTGCTCTGTTAATGTTTTTGTCTATTTGTCATTTTTTAAATGAAAGAGTTTGCTGTAATATGTAAACACTGTTAAAGTATCAAAATGTATCATTCACTCCCCACTCCACACTGTCCATGTATTGAAACAATTTTTTGTATTCACCGCTTTTTGTGATTACATATCATCACTGTCACAACAAAAGCTCTAAAATGCTAACTTTTCAGGAGTAGGAATAACTTTTTTAACTTTGAATGGAAGACAATGGAACAATTTTTTAAAGTTATTTTGGAGCATTTCTATTGCTTTCAAATTCTGTAAATAAAAACAAACAAAAAACAAAACAAATTAAAAACAACAAAAATGGAGGCACAAGTTTTTTTTCGGCCTAGAGCACTTCAGCCAAACTGAAGTTAGAAGCAGTGTTTCGGTTTGTACTGCTGCACAATACAGGGCAGCCAATCAGAACAGCTGTCATTTACATTAATCAGTCTTAAAAGCACAATAACAAAAACAGACTGTTTAATTCTAAGGGATACAAAATGGTAAGATGCAAAATGTAAAAAACGAATTATGACCAATTTTGGTAAGTAATACCACATAAAGGTTAGAAGTGGACCTCAGGGGAAAAAAACAAAATGAGAGAAAAGTAGGGTATGGACCATTTTAAACACATAAATTACTGATTACAATTGCTTGATGGTGTAAAACTAATTTTATAGTGCATGCATCTTGAAAGATTCTTGACATTAAAATGGTAAAGGTAATGAGGTCCTTGTTGGTGGGCCCCTTCACCTGAAATCAGACATTAAGGGCTCTTTCTGAATCTGCAGCTTCAAGATACAGGGATTTGGAATGAGCAGAACCTTCCGTTCTTCTGTTTCTCTACTTAAGTATGCAGGCTCTCATTTGATCTGTTTCCATCCCCAAGAAGTAGCAGCTGGTATGAGGGGAACTTGCTGGATGGAGTCTGAGAGGGAGAAAAATAAAAAATGAATGAACACCTGACCTCAGAGAAAGAATGAACACCTGACCTCAGAGAAGCATACAGTGAATGACAATACTGCCACCTGCAGCTGTTCCCCAACTGGTTACTTAAAGAATACCTGGCTCATTTATTTTAATCATCACTGTGGCACAAAAATCATGTATCCCCATTTGTATTGTTTTTTTACTTTTTTGAATAATCTGAAAACTCCAATTACACTTTGCATTGTGTCAAAATTTCATGATGAACAGATCGATAGAACTGGTCAAACGTTGCTTGGAAAAAAGTCTTTTTACATTACCTGCCATACAAGTTAAGAATGTTTTTTTTCCTTCTCCCATAAAATTACCATTTTGGAAATTTTGTTCTGATAGCATCGATATGTTCTTCTTAGTGATATGCCATATGAAGAGCTTATGAGGTGAAGAAATCATCACTATCACTCACTATATTATTAAACTAAACATTCTAACCTTTCCAACCTAAAAAATGTTTTAAAAAAGTAGGTTCTTACTTTGCAAACACACACAACACACACTTACACATATACAATCAGATCAAAACAAACTAAACTTCTGCATAATTAAACGGTTAAGACGTGGTTTTCGATAGTGAATAAAATGGCCATATTTGTGCGGTAAACACTGTGACCTCTGGTTCCCACAACCGCAAAGAAACCTGAGTTGGTACGTTAATCTACAACAAACTATTTTTCGTGAAACCACTCTGAATGACTAATGTCTTAAAGACTGAATTACACAGAATTTTTTAAAATTGGTGGAATTCCCCTTTAACTAGGGTTATGTGGGGTAGCCCAAGTGTAAACAGAGTTCCACTCAGTTTGTATGTGAGCATTTTAACAAAGAAGCTATCGGCTTTCACACCCTTCATAAATATCACCTTATTTACTATGAATAGCCATAATATATTATCAGAGTGGGAATAATTAAAGGGAATAATCTCAATACACAACACATGTTAAATTTCTGGTGCATTTATTTAGGTCATATATTAGTTCTGTCATAACTGTCATGAACGCTTCATGAAGTGCACTGCAGGTGATCAGCTCATGCATTATAAAAAGTCATCAGCAAGGCACGATGTTTTGCATGCGCTCTCATTTTTTGAAAACCCAAAAAGAAAATTTGATGCTGCAGTCAGTAGCTAAAATGTATAGTTGTGTACATACAGGTAGATTTGTTTTAAATATATTACATATACTACTAAAGCAATGCAGGTAGCAGTGTAATAAATGCAGTACATTTCAGAATGGCATGGCTAAGTCATGTAATCTTATCACTGTCCCATATATGAATTAATTATTTTAAAACTCTTGAAAAATCCATGCACTCTGAAAGTGATTGACCTGAAAGCCTTAAAAAATCAGTGGACTGAAACTCTGGCTGTAAATTAAAGGGGAATTCCAATCTTTTTTAAAATTCTGCATAATTCAGTAATTGAGCTGTAAACAAGTCACTCACTCCGGTTTGATGTAAAATGATCCAGTCTAGAGACAATCACTGATTCAGATTTGTTGACAGTGGTGGTGATGGGAACCTGGAGTCGCAATGTTTACAATGCAAATGTAGCCATTTTATTTACTAGCAAAACCACCAGTCATCCTCTAAGTGTCTTCTGAGTTTCTATATGTACTGTTGATAATGGTGAAACAGTGCTATATCTAAAAAATATATGTGTTCTTTGGGGACTATTTTGCCTTACAACACCCTGCATGTACCCCTCCGCCATGAACGGCTCCTAGAAGGATATTCAGGCCAAAATCACACTGAACTGAGCATTTCAAATCAAACCACTCTGAATGACTTTGCTTACATCTTAAACACTTAACTATGCAGAAGTTTTGAAAAATAGGTGTAATTCTCCGAAAATGAAAAACTATAATCTTTCTGAACAACACCGGGGAAACTAAATCTATGAAGAATAATATTTAACAGTGTATGTAAATTGTCTCTGGATCTTACATGATCTTGCTGGGATCATCTGCCACTAGTAAATGTACACAGCTTACTCAAATACGAACTATGAACAGAGACCTTAGATGGCCCCTTTTTTAATATCCTAAAAGAAGACTGAATTCAGTTAGTTTTACTGCCAGCTCACAGGCTAAACAGTTCCGCAGCTAAATGAACTCAATGTGATTGTAGTTTCGCCTAGTTCTTCTGAGCAAAGTTAGTTTGCCTTGCCATGGACATCTTACACACAGAGAGAGACAGGCTGCCGTTCACTGGCTGTGCCTTCCCATCAGCAGCGTAGCGTGTATTATTAGCGCGGGAGGGGGATCTTAAGGACTTTTACATATACGTACATTTAAAGCCATCATTTATATGCTTATAAATAGAACAGCCTGACTGCTGGATTCGTTTTTCGACCAACCGCTTTGCATGCGGTGTCCGTTACATTATGCTTCACATTTGGGTTGAGTAGAGAGAGCTGGTCTATATAAGCTGGACAGCAACGGAGCTGAAGATCACTGCGGTTGCCAGATTCATCGCTCCGAATTCCCCTCCACAGCCACTAAAACACACACAGAGGTGAGTGTCTCTGCGACTGAGCCACCGTTAAAGTTCACGGGACGGGAAAACCACCAGATTCAAGGGTTTTTTGACTTTGGACTTTTGGATGGAGTTAACCTTTGAGGTCACGGCCACCAGCCAATGGGAGTAAAACTGCAGGCTTGGATGTGACGTCATTTTGCCAAATGCTGGGACGTTGCTGTTGAATCTGTTAACTGAGACTGAAGTGCTGATTTACTCTGAGCGAAATTCAGTCTTGTTCAATAAGTAGACTTTATCTTAAGAGAAACAAAACATGATAATACAGAAGACTGAATCCACTGTGTGGGAATATTGTGTGATATAATGATACGTGTATTGCTTGAGGAGTTAGGGGGTTCCACTTAGCAGACTGTGAGATGGTTACCTTAATGAAGCTAATCTCTCCTCAATTGTTTCTGTCTTCTTTTCAAGCAAAAATGGCATTTGCCGGTATTCTGAACGATGCTGACATCACTGCAGCCCTGCAGGCCTGCCAAGGTACTCTCAGCTGTCCTTCAAACATATAACCACAAGAATAATTACATTGCTTGATTGTTGGCTTAGTAACCATGGTTTAGCCATGGATAACTCTTTAGTTTTACATAGACTGATTCTTTGCATTTCAGTGAGAGTTGGTTTCCTGGACATAAGTTAAGGCTAGTAAGTAATGATTAACCATTAAAAGCCTTTTTATTGGAGAATCAGGGTTAATCTGCGTCTGGGGAACCAGCACTTACTGTACTGTTTTGTCAAGAGCA